TATATATATATATATAAGAATGCAACATACTAATATGACACAAGACTACAATAATTAAACATAAAAATATACTACTAGGCATTCAACTTATAACAGACCAAGATCGTTAATTAATATTGAATTTAAAATATTCCTCAAATGAGTAAAATGAATTTATGTAACTTATAATATATTATGCCACTAGAGATTCCTCATCTTTTCGCTGTTTAATTTTAAACTATCACTGATATCAATGTAGACTGTAAACAGCATAGTAGTTACATGGAACATACATTTAGCTTTCTGCTTGTTTGTAATAAGTAATCAAAATTGGGTCTAGATAATTTATGTGAAATTTTATTTCATGATAGATCATAAACATCATAAACATGTACTGTGCCTGAAGTTTTCTTATATGTAGGTTTCTGTGGAACTGTAGAACTAAAAGAAGGTATTTAACATGAAGATCTTCAGAAAGAAAGATTGATTTAGTGGGTGTAAATTCTACTGAACTGAGAACTTTTTATATTATTGTAACTTATGAAAATTATGTAAGCATTGATTACTCTAACACATGATGTTGCATGAAATACTTTATTGTTTGACAGATAAAAGAGGAATCATTTTTGGAAGACATCAATAACTTGCTGAATTTGGGTGAAATTCCCAATATTTTTTCAGCAGATGAGAAGGAAGACATATGTGAAAAGATGAGAGAGCTTGACAAGCAGCGAGATAAATCAGTTCAAGTAAGACTTTTCAAAAATTGTGCATGTAGAAATGCAAAGAAAAACAAAAACCTTACTCTTGTGAAAAACATGATATTGGCCTGTGTACTACTGCATGGTGAGTAAAACAGACACCTGCAATTCTAATTCATTTATCATAAAAGAGACTCATACCAGAGTCTCTTGCATGGCACATTATAGAAATGACATTTTTACTGTGTCATAACTGTTTTGTTTCTTTTAAAGAGATAGCTTATATTTTCATCTTTCATAGTTTTGGAAAACATTACATTCCTTAGAAAAGGGACAGAGTTTCTGTCAAATTACATCATTTAATTTGAGCTGTAAATGTCTATGGGAATGATTTAAATATGGTGGAGTAAAGTGAACGAAAATGGATGATGTTGGTCTACACTAAAAGTTATCGTAAAATTAAATTTTTGGGGATTTGAGGTTATTGACAATGGTGGTTAGTAAAAGTACTTTCAATGGACTACTGTAGCCGTTCTTTAGTGCTACTAGCTCTGTCAGTGAAATTCAACTCATCTCAGGTCGTGTTGACTGGCCACGACTTGGGTGATTAGGGGGGCCTCGGGTGTAGGTGGTTCAGTACTCAACACCAATTAGCAGTTTGAAGTCTTTATTCGAATTGCACTCTTCAAATGATAACTGCGACGAAGTGATCCACTTAACTGATGGGTGGATTTAGGCTCCTATACCGGTTACATAGACACACTAGTTGATAGGCACCACAAAGTGTATATACGGGGATCAGAACACGTGTACCACCGGTGAATGTAAATTTCAAAGTTTCCACCAAGCACGCTCTGAATGTTAAATATCTGCCCTGGTTATCCAAAATTCAGGCGAAGGATGTTGCACTTCAGATTTTGATTAGCTGGACCAGGCAAGCTGGGAGGCTGCTTAATCCTTTTCCTCCAATTAGAAAAAGAAATATTCACGCCTGCAGAGTTTAGGGGTGAACCCTGCCACATGCTGTGTGGCTGTCAAAGTGAAACTTGAGGTAGCATAAAACGACCCTACTAAAATTATGACTACCCCTGTCAAAGTTTAGAATTTCTAAAGAACCCGGTCTCATGTTAGGCATTAACTTGACTGATTTACTGATGGGCAGCTGACTTCAAACTTGACCCAAGCCACCTGGGGCATGTCTCAGAAGGAAATCTCCAACTGTGAGACGAAAGTGACAAATGTCACAAAACCCTGACCATCCCATAAATAGGACACTTACACTACACAGCATTATGCCCCAGAAGATGTTACTCTTCACATTTAATTTAGTTCCACATTTGTTCAGTATGACCTCTACTTTCTGCATGAAGTTCAAAATACAGTTTATCAGTTTATGAAAAACAGATTTGTACATAACACACAATAAATATCTCATTATGTTCTATGTCTTTTATTTGAATTTCATAGTATATATGTTGTGTGCATAAGAAAACAAGAGAAAAAATAATTTCTGTGCTATTTATTGAGGTGTGCATGCTGTGATTAGCTACCAATACTAGATTTATTTCTGCAATAAATAAATATCAAGTGCACTAGGGCATGCAAAATCATAAAATACATTTTTGAATATTCCCACTCCTCTCATGTTCCTCTTCAGTGTTAGTTATTTTTCATTTTATTATCTCTATTAGGCTATTTTTTGGGTTGAATCTATGAAGTTGAGCTTAGTAGCCATACAATACTATTGAATTATCTGGGTCTACATCTATTAATAGCATCATAAAGATTTGATATTTACATTTTTTTCTCTTGTGTTTATAGACGGATGGGAGTACTGTTGCCCTCTTCAATCTGTTTGTTTCTGTAGTGAGGGATCAACTGCACATTGTACTGGCTATGAGTCCAATTGGGGATGGTTTCCAGAACCATATCCGCAGGTTCCCTGCCATTGTCAGCTGTTGTACCATAGATTGGTTCCAGGTCAGTAGAACAAGTATTCTCTTCCTGAAATGTGTTGTTTTGATTTCTGATTCACATTGTACATTTTTGACACTGACACCCTTTGGATGAATCAAATCTACCACAATTTAATATTTTATAATAATTATGAGAATGATGGAATGTTATAAAGAATTATTAAATAATACTGTAAGATTTGCATGAGATAAATTTATCAGCTGATTTCTGAAGCCTGAATCAAATTAATTATATATATTGTCACGTGTTGGGTGTATACACGACAAATAATTTCACGCTGTATTGGATATAGCGAATTTTATTTCACATTCGCTCTTACAATCCCACAATTTCCAATTTCACAACTACTGCCATCTGCAATATCACAAATACTACACTGCAAATGCTGGTTGACTGCCTGGCTGACTCGTAACTTGTAGCTCGAGAACTGGAGAACTGTAACTGAATAGTCTTTGCTGCTCCTTATTTAGCCTCATTCTGGACAATACGGAAAACAGCCACGTCATAGGCACCACTGTTGTCTGCCGCCATGGCGCTAGCAACACTGTGTACCGCTGTTATTACCGTCGTCTCTTGCAACCATTGTTTACCCGCTTTACCTAGCAACCGCTGTTTACTCGCGTTGCATAGCGACCAGTGTGCTGAGACCCGGTTCACTTCGGCTCTGCTCGGCATGTCATGGCTGGCGGGGAGGGAGGGGCATCATCCATAGCGCAATGCGTCACACTATATATGTACAATGTATATGTATATACATGTATATCAGTTGTCTATCTCAGCAGAGGATACAGTTCTCTTTTGTTTGAGAGATAGCATTTATATACTTCATTACTTTACTTCTGTCAAAGAATATTCTGAGTTATATTTATGTTATCTGTTTTAACACAACACAGATCAGTGTTATATCACACTCAGAAGCTATTATGAACTTTGTTCTAAGAGGGCATAATGTATCAGTTTTCAATTACGTGTGTCTGTATCATATTGTGACGTGGATGGCACAACAGGAAGTAGGGGTCACGTGAACTCTGCCATCTTGCGAGTGACGTCACATACCCTCACTCCTTCCATCATTATGCAATGCTTGGTAAACATCCCCTCCCCCATGGTGACATAACAGAAGAGCAACTGTGTCAGGCAACCATTGCCGCAGTGACATAACAACATCGGAGCAACTGCCACTGCTACAGTAACAGACCAGTCAACACTCTGTCCCCCTCCCCCGCGGTGACATAACAGCACTTCCCACTGTGACATAACAATGGGACACCGCTGGTAACACGAGGCAACAGGGAACGGTATAAAAGCTGTCTGAGCAGTATGTGAGCAGAGTGTGTGATCAGGAGTGACACAGTATGGATTGTGAAGTTGCCGAGTGCAGTTTCAATCTAGCAGTCGTTGAGTCGGGTTGTATCGAGTGCATGGCAGTGACTACAGCAGAAGGCATAATTGTGATACTGCCGATGGCAGTAGCTGTGAAACTGTAAATTGTGTAATTGTGAGAGCGAGTGGAATAAATTCGCTATATCCAATATGGCTTGAAGTTATTTGTCACGTTATACACCCAACACATGACAGTTTGGTGTCAGAAGTGGTTTACGAACTTCAACACTCCTTGACGACTAATCAAATTTACGAGTACATTGAGTGTTATCGTACAAAACGAAAATTGGAATAAGATTACAGGGCTAGACAAAAATGGACTCACAGCAGATGATGGAACTCCTGCGGAAAGAATTGAGGACTGAGAGAGAAGCTGCCGAGAAAAGGGCTAACGACAGATGGAAAGCCTGGTGAGAAAAGATGGCCGTCATGCGAGAAGAGTTGGCCGCAGAAAGGAAGCCACCCAAGCAGAAACAAGAGCTATCCAAGTAAGTACCGAAGCCACCCGAACAGAACCAAGAGCTATCCAAGCAACGACGGAAGCCACACAAAAAAGGATGGATGCCAAGCATTAGAAGATGGTGGCCAAATTTAAACCCAAAACAAAGGATGGCCGAAAAGAGATGATGGCCTGCCGAGAAATGACGGAGGCGCGTCTAGAAGAGCAAGAGCCGACCTCAGTGGAAACGAAACCTAAGGGGGGAAAACAAGACAAAATCCCCAAAGTAGACGCTGTAGTGAAACCAGTCAAAGGACGGACGAAGCGGCACAGGGGCAAGAAGCAAGCTGCAGGGCAACACGGAGAGCCGAAGGAACTGACCCGAGGAGATTGTGGATCCCAGAGGAAGTTGGCTGCTGCCTGCAGGAAGGTGTCCCTTCGTGCAACAGTGTCATGGCACAAAAGGAACATCTTCAGGAAATCTACGACCCAAGGAAAGTGGACTGTGACACGAATTGGCTGCTGACAGAAATATGACTAGCCATGCAGGTGTGACATGGCGCAAGGGAGATTTCATAAAGAAATATTCAACCAGGGTCAGTGCTGAACAAGAAACCTGGAATGGAAGAATGGGAATAAAGAACATAGGCGGCAGACGGCCGCTATGCCAGAAGTAAAAGGTGCCAACCAAGGACGCCATCAGAGGACGTAGATCAGGACAGCGATCGCACCTAGGAGGGAGAATAACTCGTAAGAAGACCTTCTACAAGATTGTCAGCATGAAGATCATGAAGTGAATAGTCTGATCTTCTGTCAGCCTAGGACAAGACAAGGACTGGACACTATGGAGGGGTCGACCTCCTCCCCTATTAGGTGCTGTGTCCTGAAATCACTTTTGTCACTGTAAATGCAGACACATTTAACAGAAAATCACTAAGAGTGCTGTGGCTCAATACTTTCATCCCATGAGAGATGTCAGTGTATTACTATTAGACGCGCACTCAGTAAAGGGTGATTCACCGAAAGTCACTGCTGTAGATATTCAAAGTTCAGCCATAAATACAAAGTAAAAAAGTAAAAAGTAAAGCTATCCCTATACCAGGCTGTGAAGGAACATAGGGTTGTGAGACGTTGAGGGTCCCACATTATCTAGACCATCGGCTCAAATATGGCAGTAAAGTTGTCAGCCTTACGCACCGGCTGCGCTTTACTCCCTAGAAAAGTTATTTAATTAATTCCTGGTACTCATTTCTGTTAGAGGCTGAGTTAACCCTAGGGCCATAGTGTGGCTGGAAGGATTAGGTCAATTGAAAAAATCCAGTGACCTCATCAGGACTTGAATCTGCGACCTTCCAGCTTGTAGCATAGCCCCTCAACCAACCATGCTACCACATGCCCCTCTAGATACAAAGTCACGGAGAAATGTGTCAGCTTGTGTGGTGACAACAACAAAACCATTACAAAGTTTGATAGACTACTTTGAAGAGGAGAAATGAAAGTCATTATAATACCAGAAGTCAGAATAAAAAGGAATTTGAATAGGTGGCAGTACTCACATCATGCACGACTGTGTAAGAAGTACCTGTATGCTACTAATAGAAGTCAAAACACTGGAGATGAAAATATAAATCCATTTTCACATCTACGCAGTAAGTGTACTGAACTGCACCCTTCTGTGATGAAGATGACACTGAGTACAAAGTATTCAAAATATTTCTCTTTTTCTCATTTGTTGCACTGAGGTAACTGGGGAATTAGAAGTGATCCTGGACCGTGAGAACAATGACTTGCCTGGCATGCTTCCTTGTATATCACCTTGTTGCAAACTGCTTAAGAAATACTGTGGTCACCAGTGCCTCAACTGTTGTGACTGGTAGGGATTCGTGTTTCTGTTTCCTAGTAAACGGATGACTGTGATATTTCTGCTACTCCAAGGCTCTGAAGTTCCTGAATTTTAGAAATCCTGTCACAATAGGGTCTTCAGCCAGCTCTTGCGAAATCCAGTGACAGACTGTACGTCTTACATGTGCTTCATATGGTGCTAATTCTTGCGCCATTTGTATGGTCTCTTGTATTGTGTGGTATGCAGAAGCATGGAATGTATCTCTGTTACCTACAAGATGCCTGGTATTGATGGTAGGTTGTCTCTTTTCAACGACTTCAGTGATCTGCTGTTCCTTCTGTACGTTACCTACAGAACATAAGTGGCCAACATTGAGTCACATCCTGTGAAATGTTCATATCTCTTGGAGTCAGTGGTCAACAGAATGGAAAGTACAGGGATTTGACACTATCCAATTACAATATTTTCCTCTGTATCTTCTAACATAATCTATAACATTTGCATTGTCCCCTCTTTAGCATAACATGCATATTTGCTAATTTAGGAATTAATATCCACTTTTGATGGTGGATCGGTATGTAACGTGGTTTTTCAAGCTTAGATTGCTTGAGATGGACTTGAAATGTAATATATATTAATTTTTTTGTCCAATGTTTATTTATACTCCATGTTAGGTGGGTCCCTGTCACCATGGCATGGCGCGTCCTCAGGTTGCGGATGGAGGAGACACCCTCCAGTTTTCGAGGGAAGCTCCAAATATATTGAATAAGCAGTCGCGGACAGCCGACAAGGGGTGGCCCTCCAGATTGGAGGTTGGGCGTGGGGCTAACAACTCCTCACCGAAAAAATCAGTATGTTACGAAAATGAACACAAAGCCTCAGACCTGGACTGATTCCTTGGATAAACGACCTAAGTTAATGAAAATGGATATGAGATTTGGAACTTGGAATGTACAAAGTTTGTATAGGGCAGGTTTGCTCAGGGCAGTGGCAGAAGAAATCTTAAAATATAAGTTAGATTTAG